TCAAATTCTGATTTTCTGTCAATGAGTTAATCCTCCTGGTGCTGAGGCAAATGGGATCACAGACTTAAGACTGAGCAAGAAATGGTCGGCGAGCATTGAGGTGGTCTTGGAATCAGCCATACTTGGGGAGCAGTACAAGAACTCAGCGTGGGCTTCTGCCCGGTCTGGCTTCGTCAGTGATAGCCGCAGTCAGTTTCCTCACTCTCCTACACATTTATTCTCCACTGCATTTTGTCCGTCTCCCCTCGCTTCAAAATTACATTGTGAAATCAAGCATAGAATGACAATGTATCATAAGGTACTGAATTATTACATCCTCTCCTCTGTGGGGATGTTTTGTGTGAAGAAAAGCTTATTAAACGTACTGCAATTGTTAATTTCTTTTGCTTTTCAAATTGGACTAGTGAACGTATTTTACTTTTGGAACCCACTTAATGGCAATCCATAACTTCATTTGAAGATCTAGCCTAAGACTGGAACAAAAATAAAAGAAAGAAAGAAAAATCTTTCCCCTTTCTTGTCTAGCCACACTAATCCTTTTTAAAGTACCCTTTCCATCAAGGGAACTTAGAGGAGCTCGATTTCTATAGCAAATGGAATACGGAGTGTTACAGTTTAAAAGGGTTGCTACTGTGAGTGAAAAATGAAAATAATGGAATGACCCAGAGAGACACCCTGAGCCCAGGAGTCCACATCAACACTCGACTTTATTGGGTCAGGGATATGCATGCACCTCTGTCTAATTGGAAAGCCAGGGACACGGCAGACCTTGGCTTCTGCTGGTGGGGACACACACTGGAAATATTTTATTGCAAAGTGACTGAAACCCCATAAGAAGTCTAACACTTAAGAGACAGCGGAGATGGCTTAGAGAAAAAGAACTAAGATTCTCTCTGTTGGCTTCCCTCAGCCCTGACAAGGTTGGCAACTTCATTTTTTAAAAAGTGTGATGAGTTCGAATGACTGCTGAAAGTTTCATCTTAAAAAAAAAAAAAATAGAACAGTTAAAGTGTCCCCTCAGAAAGATGCCTGGGGAAATACATCATTGCAATGGTATAGACATGCATCAGGAACTGCCTGCAGATTGCCCAAAGAAAACAGAGCCAATTTTCTGAGAAGATTGAATAGAAATAGTGAATGCACCCAGCTTTGTTTAATGCCCACGGAGTTCGTGTGAAACTGTAATTAAGAATGGAAAGAGGCAAGAGGCTGAGCCCGGCTCTTTGTGGTTTCTTCAGAAGGTCAAGGCCCACTCTTTCTAGCAGGATTCAAAATAGCAAGTGAGAGGGGGTTTTCCACACACTTGGCTCTGTGCAGGAATGTTCTCTCTTTTGTATGGTTTTCAAAATTTACCCTAAAGGAAGATTTATGACTATTTTGAAAGAACAGGCCTTCCTCTACTTATTTATAGAGAAGATCTTTATTATTTTGTTCAATTGGTAAAACAAAATTAAGCCTGAGTTTGGACAGTAATTTTTTTGATTATATCTATATCTCTATTATATCTATAATGATATAGATACAGCATTTGTTTTGTAGTAGTGAGGCTTCTGATTTGAAATCAGAAAATCCTAGGGTAGTGTAAGGCATTTATCATCACGGAGGCCTGATCAGGGCCCTATGGAGATTTAAACATAGCGGTGCTCTCTCTCAGCTAATATGGTAAATCCTCCTGCTATTGGTGAAAAAGTGTTGTATTCTCTCCCATGGAGAGCTGGGGCTGGGATGGTGGAAAGACCTTGTGCTTAGATTTTGACTCCCTTTCTGGCCAGCACTGAGATATTAGCAAGTGCACACTTCCTCTGAGCCCTAGTGACCCTGTGGCTAAACTGTGGCTGACTGCTTGGGCCTTAGAGGGGTGGGTCAAGATGAAGTGAGCTGATGCAGGAAGAGCCCTTGCACAGTCCTGCCGGAGAAGCAGTGGTCACCCTTTGTCAGCAGTTAGTATGGCATCCTAAAGCTTCAAGCCGTCAAGCAGAATATACCATGGCTATGAACCATTTCTCTGTATTCTGATTTTATCTGCATTTTCCTTACACATAGCATGCTAAGCAATCCCCAGATTTTGCATTTATTAAAGGTCCTTTCTCATGAATGAATGCAGAAGGTTCTAGCCAATGCCAATTAAAAAAATAAAAACTAGTTGTTTTATTCTGCATCTTCATGCATTAAGCATTTCTTCACATGAGTTCAAGACTGTCCCACAGGTCTTAATGGATTATAAAAATAATGGCACAAAATCTTGAGATGGATCGAGTGGGTAGTTAAATGTACAAAGAAAGAAGAAGGCTGAAGAGGTAGTTCTATGGCTAAAGTCCATTTCATACAGGTGTCAGGCTGGAATTTGGATCCTTGGAATTGCACATAAATGGCCCATAATTCCAACCTTAGTGGCAGACAGTAGACCTGGGAGCAGACTAGTTAGCATCAGCCGTATCAGTGATCTCTGAGTTTGATTGAGAGATCCTACCTCAGTGAATAAAGTAGAAAGGTTATTGAGGATGATTCTTGACCAACCATACATGGGCTTCCACATACACTGACAGATATGTGCCCACATATGAACATCCATACATGCCAAAAGATACCAGTGCATACACATTGCACAGCACACATGCATACATAAAAGAAATGGAAAGAAATAAGGAAAAATAAACAAGGAAACAGGAAGAGTTGGGTTAGCAGGTAAACCAGCAGGAAGCTCAGGGCCTCCAAGAAGGTCTTGGCACACACCAGCCTAGCAGAGATTTGAGAATTCCTGGGACACAGAACCCTGTTCCCTTTAACACTGAGTATCACACTACCCAATAACATTTTGGGAACATCCCGTTACTCCTAGCTCAGAACTGGGAAAAAGAAATACTCATACATGAAGATCAAATATTAGGAAACAGGGGCCATGACAGAACTGAGAGGAGAGTTGATACTCAGTGAGGGTTGGTGCATTTACTGGGGACTGTACCACTCCAAGAACATTTGTTCTTTCCCAACAGGTCTTTGCTGGTTTTGAAGTGGGAGGGATATTTACCATGCTTTAGAGAAGAATGCGGTGAGATGTATTTGTTCTGTTCAAGTGGGGACACAAAGATCTTTTAAAAAGTGAGTGATCTTGAGACTGCATGTGGCACAAAGCCCATGCCTATGAGCACAGCTTTTCTCGTCAGTGAGAAATGTGGAGAGTTTGGAATCTGTATCCTCAGTTCCCCGAAAGGTAGCCTGTTACAGAGACCCAGGAGCTAGCCTCAGAGGTCCTTCTTGTGGGCGGTCGGCATTTGTAACATACTTTCCCGAGTCTATAAAAACATTAGAAAAAAAAAAAAACACCCAAAACTGAAGATTTTCAAAGATTGCAATTACAAGCCACATTTACGACAGGCTCCTCCCACTCCTCCACCCCCATCCTAACCCCTTAACCTACCTTCCTTGTTTTCATATCCCTCCATCAAAGTAGTTTTCACTTGAATAAATACTGGGACAGGTTCCATGGCTATTACGAAAGAGTATATGCCATTTCTACCTTCAAGACCCACTCATTGTCACGGAAAGCACTACCATATTGTGTATTCATATTTAATATATTTCATAATGTAATAGAGGATAGTTGTGTGAAATAATAATATACTTATTGCTAAAGAATGAAGCTACATTTTATTCTTTCTTTGAAGTTCCTGACTGTACCATATATGTAGTGTTCAGTGTGTCTTATGAAATGAATGGAAACGTTAATAGCACGTGACCCTAAGATTAGACTTCTTTTATACAGCATAATATGACCAATGTAATTTAATAACAGGATATTTTGCATAGCAGACAAGCAAGGACAGAGCCAGGCTGAGATGTTTCAAGTCTGATGTTGACTTTTTTATGCTTCACGAACTGCCCTGTGCTTTGCTTTACTCAGTGTTAGCTGAGATGGCATCAGAAAACACACTACAAGACAGCCATCTTAGAAGCAATTGTTGCTTTATGAGGACCAATCTGGCATCACTCAAGAAACTTGAACTTACTCAAGAAATTACCATAAATACTGGTTTATTCCAACTCATATTTTCTTCTCTACTGGTTGTATTTTTAACCCTCATGCCACATAAAGTAGAAAGTTAGGTTTTTTTTTTTCTGACATGCATATGTATCATTAAGTGTGAAGCATTAGTAGACAAAACTAGGGTCAAGAAGAAAACACTGCGTTCTGACGGGGATTTATCTTATGATGAGTAATGAATCTCAATCTCTCGTTCCGTGGTGGCTAACACAAAAACAATAGCTGTAGACATGTGATTTCTCTTCCTTTGTTGTACATACTTGCTCCATTGACAAGGAGACTGAATTGTGGGTGGGGTACATTTTTCTTTACACTTAGACAAACACAAATAGAAGGAAATGACTTAGGGATGCTGAGCTTGTTTAGGGGTAGAGGTAACAGTGATGGATGGGATCTGAAATTAGGGTGATGCATCAGTCACTCTGGCATTTCCTCTCTCCTGTTCTCTTCTTCTGGAGCCTGTTCTCTGTATCCTTTTCTATTGTAACTACACATTGGTACTCAAACTCATAATGTAGCATTTGCTTCCACACTATTCATTAGACTTTATGGACTGGAAAATGTAGTGACAGAGTTCTGATCCATGTCCCCTGAATCTCATGAGGGATTACAAAGTGGGTGTCTTAGTTCTAGTTGCTGTAACTTGACAGGAAGGCTGATAAACAATAACAGTGTATTTCTCATGATTCTGGAGGTCAGGAAGGGACAAGGGTTCTGTCATGAGTGATGAGGGTTCCCTCCTGGGATGCAGACTAACTTCCTCTCTGGCAGCAGCAGCAGGAGAGGTGGAAATCCTATTTACAGAGGCTCCACCCTCTGACCTAACTTCCCAAGGCTCCACCTCCTACAACCATCACACTCAAGGATTCCGTGTCAACATTTGTATTTGGGGAGGGAGGCACAAACATTCAATTGTGACAGTGTCTGTGCAACCACTAAAGAGGATGTTCTCTTGCAGGAATGGAATTCAGCCATAGAGAAGCTGAAGAGCCAGGCCCTGGAGATCCTACTGTCCAAGGACTTCACAGAAAAAGAACACCTACAGCTCTCGAACCAGAAACTGAGTCGACTGCAAGAAGAGTTTGGTCGACTCATGGTGGAAAGAAAAGCCTGGTTGACAATGGCACATGACTTTTTTAACAGGGCTAATAAGGTCAGTGTGAGGTCAAGATGATAATCTTTGGTACCAGGGCTGACCAATAAGAAACCCATTATGTCGTCTGCTCAGGGCACATCATAGAAGGCTAAATTCTGTGTAGAATAGCAAACTGATAGAAGAATTTTAAAATCATATTCTTATTGTGGCTATTGGTTGTTTTTCAAAGTTAAGAGATTATGTTTTGATGTGTACAGAGTTAGTCTTTAAAGTAACTCCAAAGCCAGGTTTCATGGTGCATACTTTTAATCCTATACTCAGGAAACTGTGAGTTTGAGGCCACGCCTAATCTGTATGTTCCTGGCCAGTTACAGAGTGAGACCCTGTCTCAAAAACAAACAAACAACCCAAAGAAGTAAACAACAACAAAAATAGCTTTTAAAAAGTTCCCTTTTAGAGCTCCCATTGGTCTGTTTGTGGGAGACACTATTCTCCATATTAAAATGTTTCTCCCAGAGATGAGGAAATATAAAATACTTCAGGTCAAAAAGAAACCTTAACAGTGTTACCAAAACACCTTTTGTTGTTTGTTTCAAAGAGTAGTTCAGGGTGGCCTCCGGGGCCCAGTGTAGCTAAGGGTGGCCTTGATCTGACTTTTTCTTGTCTGCCTCCCTAGTGCTGAGGTTTGGGGCATGCATTGCCACACCCAGTTTATATAGTACTGGGGATTTGTGCATGCTAAGGTAGCACTCTACCACTTGAACTATATCCCTGACCCATTTTTGTTCTTTTAAAACAGTTTCTTTAGTTTATTAGGCAGAAACACATAGATATTACAAGTCTTCTGTGCATATGGAGTCCTAAGGTCAGAAACTACCTCACATCAGCCATTCTGCCTTGGGCTTACATTTTTAAGTAAGGCAAGGAAGAACCTTGTTACAGACCATCAGTGGGTCTTCTTGTGTAGGAGAAGGGTGCCACTTCCCCTGGGCAAATGCCTTCACCGTTGTAGCAGATGGTCCTGGCAGTGGTAATGTTTGACTCCTCAGGAACAAGTCACTAGGTCAGAGGCTGGCGTCTCTAGAATAGGATTTCCACCTCACCTTCTGCTACATGAGAACACAAGAAGTTAGTCTGCATCCCAGGAAAGAGCCTTCATCACAACAGAACCCTTGTCCCGTCCTGATCTCAGCCTTCCAACCTCCAGAACCATGAGCAATGCATCGCTATTGTTTATATACAGAGGTGATGTTCCATGTGTGTGAGTGGTGATATTATTTGAAAGGTTTTTGACCTTTGCCACAGTAACATAGACCTCCAGACCTCTGCACTGGAGTCATTTAAATAGTTAAATTTCAGCAATTTAAAGGTAGACAAGGCAAAAAGCATAGGGTAAGGGAAGCTACTACACACACTGTGCTCTAAAAATCACAACACGGGCGCTCTGAGTACAGTGAGCTCCATGCTTACTTAATTGTGAAATTCTTTACTTACAAAAATCTTTTGAAAAGATGAGTGGCAGAATTCGAAAAGAGAGAGGATAGAATTTCAGTAAACCTATTAAACAAGTACTCTTGGTTAATGATGGGATTTTGGGGGGTCTCACAGTTTTAAAGCAGGACACAGATACAGCATATAGGTGGAGACACTGAACTGAGTAGATGTTAATTGCTAGTTATTTTTTCTCTTCAGCCACCCAATTTTGAAGTAAGAGGTTGTAAAATTCCCGTCACACCTTTAGTCTACAGAGTGAGCGAGCTGTTTTCAAGCTGACCATTATTGCTGCTCAGGGAAAGAGTAATAGAACGTGTTACTCTAAAACAATGCTTCTGATAGAAGCCGCATAGCTCACAGCCTTGCAAAATGTAGACAGTTCTCTCCCTCCCTCTCTCCCTCTCTTTCTCTCCCTCTCTCCCTCTCTCCCTCTCCCTCTCCCTCCTTCCCTCCCCCACCCTCTCTTGTTCTCTCATTATTTTGGTTTCTCGACATTCATTATTTGATACCTTGCCTTGGCCGTTTGTCATCTGACTTCATTTTCAGGCCCTGAGGGAAATGGTAAAAGTTAAAGAAGATGAATTGGTGGAGAGGAGGAGGGAGCTGGGAAGGAGAAGGGGAGGGAAAAGACAAGAGTGGATACTCTCTGAATCTCACACAGCATTGCAAGTCTGGTCTAGAGAAGAGAACCCCAAAGAGTAGATTCCTGGATTCTCTATCTTATCCAGCAGCATGCTAAATATTCAAAGTGTAAAGTTGGCTGGCATTTACCTGTGCTCTAACTTGTGGCCAATGGTTTTCAGGAAGGTTTAGAGTTCTTTCTTATTAAGGAAATTATTTCCAAATTAAAAAGAAATAACTCAATGTGAAAGATGATGGATATCGGAACTGGGACAGAACCAGATGCCAGAGTTTATAGATTGGAAGGTTAATCATGCATCTGCATGCATTGTTCTATGTTAGTAAGATAAAATAAATGATGAAATTATGTAGAGAGCAAATCTATATAAGCTAAGAATCAAACGCTGCTTATGACTTATAAGTGACATTTTTCTTTTTAATTCATATTTTGGATTCTGCAAATTAAAAAAATCTTACCATTTTACCTATCTTGGCAGAAAACTCATAAATAAATCTCCAAGTCTTCAAAATAATTTTCTGCCTGGTGGTGCTAGTGCGCACCTTTAATCCTAACACTTGGGAGGCAGAAGCAGGTGGATCTCTGTGAGTTTGAGGCTACCATGGTCTACAAATCAAGTTTCAGGACAGACAGTACTGCTATACAGAAAAACCTTGTTTCAAAAACCTAAAATAATAATAATGATAATTTTCTAGGCTAGAATTTCTGTGTATATTAGTAAGTGGGGTAGTTTTAAATTTACATTGTTTATCTCAGAAGCTGTTTTCTCTTTGAAAATTCCCTGTGATATGTCTGGGTTTCCTTGTTGTGAGTATTTGTGTTTGTAGATGAAGTCATGCTCCCAAACATTAAGGACTCTTGAGAGTTTACCTGACTTTCAGGCTCACATGCTGTCTGTTCATAGATGCTGGCAGAAGACACTTGGTTTCTGGGTCAGTGCCAAATGATGACCCAGCAAAGCAGTAGCTGGGTGACAGCATACAAATGAGCTCAGTGTGTCCCAATTCCAACATGGGTGATGGAGATCAGCATGGGCACATGTCTGCCCCACAGTGAGGAGTGAAGAGAGGAATGCTCAACTCAGGGAATCTGCTGTTTGATAGCAAGCAGCAAGTCTACTCTTTGTCTCGGGGGTGACATCACCTCACATGGGAAGATTGATACCTGCAGAATCCACAGCTACTGGTTCTATAAGTGCTGTGGGGGGACAAAGAAATCCCTGCCTAAAGATAGCCCTTTCCCACAGATACCAATTCTGCTTCTGATGTGAGAATTATTATCCTAGCAAACAAACCCATTGCCTGAAATTCCTTGTGTTCTGTCTTGTGTCAATGAGCAGAACATGCTAGTGCTGTGGAAAAATGAGATCCTGGGATGGTGTGCATGTCAGCTTACTATAGGGGGTTTAAAATATGCTTTTTGAGGGGCTGTAGAGATGGCTCAGTGGGTAAGAGCATTTGCCTCACAAATGTAAGGACCTGAGTTCAGATCCCAGGATCCTCATAAAATGCTGGACATAGTCCTGTGCATGCCTGGAACTCCAGCATTGTGGAGGGCAGAGACAGGAGGATCATGGGAGCTTGGTGGCTGACAGGTTAGCTCTGGGTTCCTTGAGAAACCTTGTCTCAGGGAATGAGGCAGAGAGTGACAGCAGGAAACCTGACATCCTCTTCTGACATGTGCCCATCCACCACCCCACCACCACCACCACCACCACACCACCACCACCACCACCACCCTAACACACACACACACACACCACCACCACCACCACCATTGCTACCACCCCACCACCACACACCCCACCACCACAACCACTTAAGACACACACACACTCACACACACACACTCACACACACACACACACACACACACACACACACACACACAGCCCACCACCATCACCATTACCATAACCACCCTACCACCACACACCACCACCACCCCAAATAGTATTTTTCAACTTTGTATAAGTAGAAAGGGATAGATGTAAAGTTTCTCTACAGAATAGACAGTAAGTTTTTATGTCATATATAATACTCAGACTTCTTCCACATGATTATTGTTATATCCTTTCTACCAATTCTAGACTGAATAAATACATTCATTCATTGAAGTCACTGAATAAGCAGTACAGCAAATCCATGGCAGTAACTGCCTTCATCTTTAGGTATTCACTTATTTAGTGAATATTTATTGAGCAACTTCTCTGCAACAGGCACTATTATAAATCCAGAGGATACAAAATAGAGCAAAATGTGCAGAAAATCTATGTCAGAATAGTTTCCAAATTTTGAGATCTAGGAAGCTGTAAAAATTACCTAACTGTCCACACAGAAAACAATTCCCCCAATGCCTTTGCCTCATGGCTCTGGGAACCCAACTGATACCTTGTAATTAGCCTAGAAGTTGGGGACAATTACTCAAAATGTCTGAATCTGTTTCTCAAGCAGAGAAACCTGTGAGCAGTGCATTGTTCTAGAGAGATGACTGTTTGAATCTGGACTTAGCAGCAGGTGGCAATGTTGAGACATGGGCCTTAGGGAATGTTGCTGTATTTGTCCTAAACCAGCCTCTAAAACCCAGGTAAAGACTGAACCATGAAGAATGGATGCCCTTTCTTTTCAGAGTGTCCGACTGTATTTGGTGAACCTATTCGCTAAGTCATTCGGCCATTAATTAACTGGCAATGTTGGTGATTTACAGTGAGTAACAGTTGACTGGAGAAGGGTGCTCCCCCTGATAGTGCTCTGCATTGTACTCTCATTGCTTGAAACATCTGTTACAGAACTACCTTGATCCCTCTAAGTTTTCATCCTTCCCAATTGTAGGTTATCACGTGTGTTATATTTTCAGCATTTCATGAAAAATTGTTAGTATCTATAGACTGCCCAAGAAGGAGTTATCGTTATTTGGGGGTTGG